ATACCCTTCCCATGGAACATTCTGGATCTTTTACCAGTGATCACTGCTTTGCCTGTAGTAAGAATCCAACTTGACCCTTCTCTATGGTAGAACAACATCGGAAAGCTAATGTTTGCAGCAAACCGTAATAATGGCCTTGCAAACCTAGCACTAAGTCCGTGAATGAATGTCTAATTGGAATCTCATTAAATTGCTGGCAATAGGGAGGGGGCAATTCCTGTAAGACAGATGACCTTATTGGTCTAAATAACCTTGTTCTTTTCTGATTATAGAAGTTCGGCAAATTTAGTCCCTTTTATTACTTGGAATGGTACCTGTGCCCAATTTTGCCTTCAGTTGCAGCCACACAACTCCCAGTGAAATCAGCATTCTGAGTGCTGTCTCAGTGATGATGGAATTTGGGCCTTGGGGTGTAAGGCTGTGGAACTGCCGAGATTCTGCTGGTCACTTTTGGCATATTATCTATGAGATATTAATGACTTTATGGTATGACACTAGGGAGTAAAATCTCTAACTCTAGCTTCTGTTACTTCACTGTCTCTGTAGGACTTCTCTACATGCGCCAAAAAAAAAAAAAAAAAAATGTAAAGCAATGGTTTTCACCTACGGCCCGTGGACCCCTGGGGGGTGACAGACTAAGTCTAAAATTCCAAAGGGGTTCACACCTATATTTGAAATTTTTAGAGAGCCGCAAATGAAAAATGGTTGAAAATCACTGGCCAAAGCCATACTGTTATAGACTCGGATATTGACAAGATGACAGTTAAATTCTGAATCTGGTCAGTTTGTTAATGTAAGATCTCCAACAGATGTAATTTTTGGGCTCAAACATATACCTATGGGCATGACCTATGAGGAAAGATTGAAAAAAATTGAGTTTATTTAGTTTGGAAAAGAGAAAACAGATGGGGTGTGATAGTAGCTGTCAAGTACATAACAGGGTTGTTACAAGGAGGAGGGAGAAAAACTGTTGTTTTCTCTGAGGATAGGACAAGAAGCAATGGGCTTAAATTGCAGTAGCGGTGGTTTACGTTAGATATTAGGAAAAACTTCCTGTCAGGTTAGTTAAATATTGGAATAAATTGCCCAGAGAAACTGTGGCATCTCCATCACTGGAGACTTTGAAGAGCACGTTAGGCAAACACATATTAGAGGTGATCTAGAGAATACCTAGTCCTTCCCTGAGTGGAAGCCGACTGGATTAGATGATCTCTTGAGGTCCCCTCCAGTCCTATGATTCTATACACAGCAACATGGACTAGCTGCTTCACTACATACTTAAGGATTACACAGCGCATGCTACCATGACTTCACTGCTGTTGTTCACTGCTATTCAAGCTAGCTAGATCAAAGCTAACTCAAGTCTATCTATATTTGCTGCAGTTCGATCAGTGATTGCAGGGTAGACATACATACCACTAGTCTGGGAACGCGGTGGGACTCATGGTGTGGAGAACACACAGAGCTCCATTGCTCATGGAAGCTGTAGCCACTAAGGTTTGGGTGTGCCAATGGTAAAGGTTTAAATGCAATTGAACAGGCATAATCTAAACACTCTGCTATTCTAAGATTGACATTTCCTATCACCATGCCCATTTCTGAAAGCAGTTCTCTTAATACGATTATCCTAACTGTATCACTTTTGTATCTAAAGTCATGAATATGGACCATGGATTAGAATTTCAAATGTGTCTGCTCCTAAGAGAACAACCACAGGGTAACGTACATCTAGTCTGGGCAGTGCATTGTGAACGAACACATGGATGACCCATGCCATCACACTTAGCTTGCACAACAGATCCTGGAAGCAGCCTGTCCCCCCGTCCCCAATGGGACTTCCCAGGGACGTTTTAAACCAAAAGACGGGTAATGACGGTTTCTATGGCACATCAGAGCATGCAAGGGCACGTGACTAGTTCAATGTAAGCCTGGACTCCTTGTGCCTGTAATTTTCCAGAAACTAAGACAGAGCAGTACCTCCACATGGGAGAAGGTATAAAAAACCTCTAGACGCATCTACATTTGGGCCTCTTTCCTGCTCTGATCTCTGGACTACGGAATTAAACCAAGAGGAGCATTCTACTGATGGACTAAGTACCTTCCAATCTTTTGAAAGCGACCGGACACCTTCCAAGCCAGTCACTTATAACATCACGGCTTCAAGCCTGACACAAAAACTTTGCAATGACTGTGTGCATTTGTTTTTCTTGACCATTATAACGCTCTCCTCTCATTTCTCTTATAAACAAAACTTTAGATATTAGATTCTAAAGGATCGGCAACAGCAGGATTATTAGATAATATCGGAGTTATATATTGAGCTGGTTATGCTCAATATATAACATCTCTTAGGATTGGAAGAACCCTTTGTTTGATGAAATTTGTTTTAAATACCACTCATTAAATCTAATGTCTGGATGGGTACACAAGAGCTGGGATACCCAAGGAGACTATTTCTGACTCCTTAGTAACCAGAGTGGTGAGATAGAAGTTTACTTTCATTATTGGCTTAGTATAGCTGTTGGAGGAATAACCTCCAAGTGTTTTTTTTTTGGGGGTGGGAGGGTATTCTCAGCTGTGACCCACTGTGGCAAGGTGACAGACTCTCATTATGTATACTCCTGAAGAAGTGGGTTGTGCCCACGAAAGCTCATGATGCCATCTACATATTTTGTTAGCCTTTAAGGTGCTGCTAGCCTATTCGTTATTTTTTACTATTTTTTTTTTGGTAAACTCCCCGGTTCTTCAATGCCAGCCAGTATCCACAGACTGTGTAGTAGCTCAAAGATGCATGATTATTACTCATGATCTTCCTGGACACACACTTTCCCATGCGGTGAGTACTTTTGAGAAAGCCCACCCTCTTCTCCTTGCCTATTTAGTTAAGATAGAGAAAGTTTCATTGGGGCTGCTAGTTACGAGTCTTAGGAGTTCAACTTTACAGTTACTTTCTCTCATGAATGAACTGTCAATCATGCTTAAATTCAACACTTTACACTCAAGTTTGAATAAAGACGCTAATTATCTTACCCATTACAAAGATAGCTTCCCCAATTATCACCTCTAATATCATTAGCTCACAGATATTTACCTCCCCCCCACCCCCCTTCTGTTCTGAAATTTTATTTGTCCTTTTCATGTGTGTTCATTTTTTTAATTGTATCCTTTGGTATATATGGTTGTGACTATTTTCTTCCACTATTTGATCTGAGGAAGTGGGTCTGGCCCACGAAAGCTATTAAACCATCTTGTTAGTCTTTAAAGTGCTACATAGTCCTGTTTTTTGTTTCTCTCACAATGGGCACAACCCAGCATACCTCTCATTAACACATTCATATCAGTAGATTAAATGGCACCTAAGGCTGAAGAGACCTCCCCCCCAATATGAATCCCCCTTCTGTAAAATATATGCAATTATTTCTGTTTATTTTATCATTCAAAGTTCAGTAAAAATAAAACAATGAAAACCCTGGTCCTCAGGAGTCACCCTACAAGAGCAAACATGCCTGCATGTCTGATCTGGGGAGGGGAAGTACCAAACAAGTCTACAAGAGATTAACAGTGGGGGAAAAAAATAAAAATAATTTATTTATCTTAAGCAACTTGTATTTATTTCTCTCCAATTCAGTTCCGATTTTGCGCTTAAGTGCTTTAAAAGGTAACATGGTATGGGTCACAATGGATAAGCTTTGTTGTTGCCGTCACTTAAAAGGTGAGAATTTGATGTTTACAATGAAAAATGATACAAGATTATACTAAAAAATGTTTCCTTAACAAGCTGCAGTAAAACCACACTTTTGTTTTCCAGACTCATTTTATCTGTCATTGAGAGCAAGGCATCCAACAGCAATATGGTAGTAATTGTGCAAAAAAAGGATGGTGATATAAATCACCAAAGGTTAATGATCAGGATGTGAACGGAGGGACTTGTTTACAGAAATAGCATGCAATTTAAAATTTACAAGAGATTTAATGCCACTACTTGGCAATCGCTAAAATCAACAGCCCAGAAAACAGTGACATTAAGAAAAATATTACGGTTATAATCATTCCAAAATAAGTCAATTAGTGTTAGGGCATGCGCTTGCGATTACTTGACCCATTTGGTTCGTACTTAAGTGAAAAAAGATTTCCCCCCTATTATACCAAGATTACAGAGATGTGACCTATTTGCATTCCATATTTCATACACCAAGCCCTCTTACTCGCTGTCTGAAATGGCGGTTGAGGGTTTTTCTCCTTGCCCGGCTTCCAAGTAATTCTGACCTCTGACATTTGCAATAATAAAAAAAATAAGACAGTTTATAATTGTGTTGTTCAAATGAAGGTGGGGAAAAATTCAATCTGCTATTATACAAAAGGCATGACGGCTGTCTTCAGTGAAAAAAGCAATGTAAGTCAATTTGTGAACTTTGGCACCAGGCGACCTTTAGAAATACAACAATATACAGAATTTACAAGCAAGAGTAGCACATGCAAATGACCTGGCTCTGTCTCGCCTTTGGATTAAAGCTGCAAAGAGCATTATGGAGAATGCTTTCACAAAACAAATTAAGACTGTTACTTAAATGTCACGGCACACTATTGTATTTGGCTACAGATCATTACACCTGATACTAACACTTTTAAAAACTGTAATAACTTGGGAAATATTACATTGAGTGGCCACATGTATAAAGGGGGGAAAAATAAATAAATAAAAGAAAATGGGTTCCCGAAGTAATTTAAACATCACCACTCCACGACTAGAGAGAAAGGTCAGAATTTAAGTAAGCTGAAAGGAACATGAATGGCAAAATAAAACGCACAAACAAAAAAGATGAAAAGACCATGGGAATGACTCTGCAAACAAAAGATGAAAGCACGCATGCTTTGGGCAAATTTGTTTTCCATTCCTGCATTTGGAAAGTGAAAGGAAAGGGGAACAAGTCTGGAAAGGCAGGTAAAAAGGGGAAAGAGGGTATGATGATCAGCTAAAATGTGCTGTTTTAATTTATTACCTTCAGTGTTGGTGCTGCTGCTGCTGTATATATTTCGCAGGCTACCAACACGGTTTAGTTTCCATGCTTTGCGTTTGGCTGCATCCAGAGAGCAGAAGGGGAAGAGAAAAAAAGAGAAAATAATAAAAAATAAAGAAAAGAAAAAATATGAAAAAGGGGAGAAAAGAAATGTCAAAGTAGCATGTGAAGTAAAATACCATCACAAGCCTGTTATATGTGAAGCAGCTACACAGACACGGAAAAGGCACACACAGAACCACCACCAACATGCAAGGCCTTGCTCTCTTTTTTCCACTGACAGACACTTTCAAGACTTTACAACATGACAAGACTTCTCAATAGTATTTGACTCTAAAGAAGTAATGAACAGTAGACTACAAAAGTACGTCTTGTGTACATGATGCACTATTAGAGACAAAACAACAACTGAGGTATAGCTCACAGCAAAAATGACCAAACAAAGGATTTGCCCTTTTGCTAAGAGGGCGCACCAGATGCCTGAAAATCTAAAACCTTTAATTCCAGGTGACAATGCAATCCGTTGAAATAATCTAAATCACCATAAACATTATTTTTAGTGTTATGCTTAGCTGTTCTACTTCATTATTATTATAAATGTCAAGTAGATACAGTTACTATGCACATCTTGGTTTTTTTCAGAGGCAGGTTACTGGCAAAGTATGAATTTGTGTTTGGAAGGTAAGCTGTATATTTTCTTTACTACAAAGATGCCATAATTGCTTTATTGGAATCATATCAAACTTTTAAATCTCTCTCAGTTTCAAGCTCCCATTTTGGGCATTAATAGGCAGAATTGTACAAAAAGCACCTGCATCCTCTGCTTATTACATGAAATTAATTTGAACGGTCTTTTAGCAGAATCTATTTATTTCTTCCCCAAAACTAATTCAAAGCATGAAAAACACACTCGACTAACAATACATTTCACAGCGGCAGGAACTGTATCTATCTTTTCAACCCACCACCCGGCACAAAAACACACTGTTGGCTTTTAACCACCACTGCGCATTGGTCAATCTTATCTGCTATTTATCCTCCAAACTTCTACGTTAGGGACAGTAAAAGGGCAAACTTCTCCAACTTTCTTGGAAAACAGGACTCAGATGTGACTGGCGGGGCCACTTCTCAGGAGGAGGTGATAAAGCAACGATTCATGGCTGCACCACTTAGACTCTGTGGTTGTCAGGTCAGTGTATGCATGCCACATGGAGAAGAAACTTCACAATACTAACAACAGTGATAAAGGCAAACCTCCATCAGCTGTCAGCACTATTAGAGCTCATACTTCAAGCCAGAGAGAAGAGAATGAAACAAAGTGCCAAGTGACAGATACTTCAGCAGACCTTGCATTCCACTCGAGTCTCTTCCCTTACTCAAACCTGGGTCTAAAGGCTGTCAAATACTGCACGCTTAATTGTAATGGTGCACAGCAGTGCACACTTTGGAACTGGTAAGTCTACAATTTCGGTCAGCGTGGGATCTGTCGGTAACAAATCTATCACAGGAAAAACAAAAAACAACAAATAGCTTAGTAGCACTTTAAAGACTAACACAACACGTAAATGGTATCATGAGCTTTCGTGGGCGCAGCTGTGCCCACGAAAGCTCATGATACCATCTACATGTTGTATTAGTCTTTAAAGTGCTACTAAACTATTTGTTAAGTTTTTCCTGTTACAGACTAACGTGGCTATCCCTCTAAATCTGTCATAGTTAGGTGAATATATTGTTTCTCCCACTGCTGCCCCGTACGCTCCCTCCAACCTTTGAGATAATATGCACTCAACAAATAAAATATGCAGAGTCTGTAAAAGGGGCTTTCTTGTTTTCTTTTCTAGCTGTATATTTTATAATGCCAAGGAGCGCTGCAACCAAAAGACTGTTTCTATGGAAAAGGAACATTACAATTAACTCATTCAAATATTTAACCAAAAGCTGTATCTTGGGTTGTAGGACTAAGAATGGAAAAATACTTGCTCTTCCATAATGGTCAAGTAGCTTAATCAAAGATTTAGCATGTAACCCGCTATGTACAGTAGGTGATGGGAATCCAGTTTAGTGGTGAATGGAGAAACCCTGCCCTACTACCTGTATTGGAAAGTCACCTATTTGGAGCAATTGCCCACGTACAGCACTGAGAATGATAACTACCATCTGCATGCAACCTGTAATGCTATTATAAAATGGTAATTCACTGTAACTGAAGAGCAGGACTGAAACACCCCGGAATGTTAATAACCTATGCATTCTTTGAAGGTAGTGCCATTCTGTTTTTAATATTATCCACTGTTACGAGGGGAAAAAAAATGGAAAACTGGACCGTTGGCTGCTGTCACCCATCCCCTTTACTTTAAAAATATATATGACTGAAATGAAAATCTACATTATCATCTAGGAGACCAACTGATTCAGTCAGATTTAGCTATACATTTAAGTTGGTCAAGTCTAAAAGCCTTTATATCTACTGTTTCCTTTAATATTACAAACCTTTAGTTCTAAGAAAAATTTAGCAAGCTGCAGCAGGAAGTACCTAAAGAGGCTCAATCGCCCTGCTGAAAATTTACTTTTCCTGAAAAAATTTACATATAAATAGGCAAAATCTAGACCTAGCACCCCCCTGAAAAGTAAGGCTGCCTCCACTATATAAAGCTACTTTCCAAGGCTGCTTTATGTCTTTCATTTTTCATACACTAATCGCACATTAGAGAATGGATGTATAAGCAGGAAGTGAACTTGCATCCTGATTTTCTATTAACCTATTGATGAAATAATCAATTTTAAATGTGTTAAATGTCATGCATCTTTCTTCTTTTAAACAAATGGACATTAGTTGGGTGAAGCTGAGGTCCCAATACATCCTTGTGTGTCTTGAAGCATTAATTGGACTCCAGTTGACTTTTTGTGGCGCTTCGGATAATAGGATACTGTTACCGTCGCCAGGCGTTGGACGACGATGCCAAATGCTGCCTGCATGATTCTGGACTGATATGTGTAAGAACACCCAGGCCCACCTTAGACAGCCTACCCTGGCTAACTTCACAATTACACACTGAGAATAAATGTTTGCAACTTATAAACAAGGCCTTAAAAGACACTGCAGGTAGCTATGTCACTGATGGACATCTCAGGACATTGAGCCCATCTAGCCTGGACTCTAATTCAAAAGCCAGATCAATGCAAAACGATTAATATCTCCAACCTCTGATGTGTACTACTTAGCACCTCCCCAATTAGTTTTCAATATAAAGAACCTAAAACAAATATTTATTTTGTTTTTAATGGTAACTTGGCTTCATATTTTGAAAGACTCTTCAGAGAGTTTGATTTGCTAAAGTGCCTCCATTTAAAATATTAGCCTTCTTTTGTAACCTACTAATTTAGCAAGAAATACAGGTTTTAATGCTTCAGCTTGCCCTGATTTATCTAGCTTTCTGTCTACATTGTTGAAATATCATAACCTGCATTATTAATGTAGTATTTTAAAGGGCTTCCACAAAGCCTTTTATTAAAGTCTTTCAACTCATTTTGAATTTGATTTCAGTGCGTATCCAAAACAAACCTAACACCCCCAACATTCCAAACTGAGAACACAGCTAGATTACAAATATAATTTTGATCTCATCCGAACTAATTAATGTCTAAAATTTAGACTGCTGAGATTAAATTCCTAACCCTTCATTCCAAAAATTGATTTATGCTTTTTGACTCTCAATCTGGACTGGTACAATAAGTCATTAGATGCAGCCTGGCAATCCAGAGCTATGTTATTAACTACAGAGAACTATCTTGCATGACAATGCAACCATGCTACCTTGTGAAACAATAGCATAGATTATTATATTCTACTTCAGCACAAATCATGGCCTAGCAATTGCTGTTATAATTATCTCGGCAAGAGATTAGACAATGATAAGACAGGAAGACTTAGAACCCTTGGCTCTGAAGCATGTTTCCTAAGATGAAGGGGTCAAAAACATTTCTTGAAATCTTGCAAACCAGCCACTCTCGATGAAATCATTCCTTTCTGTGATTTGATTTATTGCTTCGATGTGGCACAAACTTATCTGACTATGTAGGTCAAATATACTGTTTAAATCCAGAAGCATGACTGAGCCATAAGTAGGGAAGACTGATGAGTTTTCATAAACTGTCATTTGTCTACAGATGTTTTCATGTCCAAAAGAGGCAGAGAGTGGTTCCTTTACTGAATTTAGGCATTTTTAAAACTCTTCAATATTTCCTTAGTTAAATTCAGCATCTGTTGTGACCTATATCCTACGTGATCAACAGTTCCCGAAGAAAAAGATAAAGACCATTAATATGCCCTGTTTTTGCATGCCATGTGGCCGCGTACTTCATGCAAATGCATCGGTCTTCCCTCTTTATGGATCATGCAATGTTCTATCCTTTGTCTAATGCTCAAGTTAAGAACCTCTTGTTCTGTTTCCCCAAAACGTCTGCTGCAACTCTCAAGGCTTAGCAGTGCCCTCAGAACACAGGTAATTTCCACATTGCAGCCAGTAGCATAACGTCTGACTCGGATAGACCCACACCTGCTAACTGACGGCTAGTGCGCTAAAAACAGGTGCCTACATCTGCCCATAGGGGTAGCAGCAGGGGCTAGGATACATGCCTGGGGGAGGGATTGAGTAAGATTGTACTTGGGGCACTGGTATTTTTGTTGCACAAGCGTGATTCGAAAGCAATTGCATCTACCCAAACTGAAAACCACATACTCCTGGCTGTAGTGTAGATGTAAGTTCCAGTGTTCTACTAATTGTCTGCTCATTTTCTGCGTACCTAACTTGAGACAGGTGGGGCGAGATGCACACAAGTATGGAGCACACATCTGCCACCAGCATCAATGGGATACTCAGCCTGTAGATACTCAGCCTTTCTACACATTTAGCAGAGTAGTGTGGAGAACGTGCACAAGAGTGGGAGTCTGGAAGGCCTGAGTTCTAATTCTAACTCTGCAACTGATTCACTGTGTGGCCGCAGGTAAGTCACATTTTTGTCTGTTTTCCCACCTGTAAAATGGGAATAACTCTCACCCA